AGAAAACAAAAGTACGAGATACGCTTAAAACACCAGATTTCCTGCATTCTTATTCACATTTTCAATTGTGGATCAACTAAATAAAGACTGATCACATGCCTACTTAAATTTTTTTATTTTGAAAAAAATTAATTAATTTAATTTGTTCCTTTGTTTACTCCATTATCTACGAATTTTGACATATTTCAATCGATAAAAAAAAGAACAGAGAGGGAGAGAATCAGATTAACACACCTAGAAAATGAATTTGAGCATAGTTGAGATTTGAGTCATTTAGATTAAAAAGGGGGGGAGGAGTATGGTCGTTCTGTCTCTGTTTGAAAACGGTGATCTATGTATAGTTGATAAGCCTCGATGACAAGGCTAGTAGTGGTGACAGATTGCTGCACCTCCCTCCCTCCCTCTTCAACTCAAATGTGATTGCATACACATTTTCATTTGACTCATCGTTCTTTCTCCATTCTGTGATTTGAGTTTTCATAAGTTTATTGTTTTCACACCTTAAATGTGCGAATTAAAGGTGTGGCAACTTGGCTATATGTTGAGAAAGTTGGTCTACCTATGGTTAATGCATTCTGTATGCTTAAATTGATATAGACATGCATAAGGGGCGAAAAGTGAGTAAAAAAATGGATTCAAATAAAAGAGGAAATATGTCTTTCTTTAAGGCTGCAAATACACACACACATACACACACAAACATCCACGAACAAACCATAGTTGTAGGGTTTTGTTCTGATAGATGACTGTACTTATCTTTTCTAACGGAGGAAATTATATGAAATCAACTGAGATGCTTCAGGTTATTCGGGAAAAGAAACATGAAACAAAAGGACAGAGATGACAGTGACTTAGAAACCTGGATCAGTAATGCTGAAACTTTCAGCTGAAATCTTCCCAGTTAAGACCCTGGGAATAATAACCAGCTAATTGTGTAGAATGGAATAGAGTGTGGGTTTGAGTTAACATGTCAAAGGCACCTACTACTACTACATGTACTACAGTAAAACGCTTTATAGAGAATACTAAGAAAAAACTGGATTAAAAATCTGCTTTGACATCTTACAATGAGATGACTAGGCATGCGTAACACATGTCTTAGCCATCACCTTCATCGACGGTCAATGTTAGCTGACTGACATAGGATCGATCAGATCGGAAAATAGCTAGTGGTGGTCAAACCAAAGCATGGAATCAGCCAGTGAAATCTTTGACACTTAGTTTGACCCACGGCCAGGACCCTGTAAAATGTAAGATGATGTTGCAGGATTGGACTACACCGACCCCTAGATTAGAAATAGGAAGTGAAGTGGTAGAGCACGTTGACCGCTTCACTTACTTGGGAAGTACCATCAGCATCCCAACGGGTTGATCTCTGACGAAATCTCAGCACGAATACAGAGGGCTAGTTTCGCATATGCCAGGTTACGCCGTCTCTGGCGTAGACGTGATATCCGACTATCGACCAAAGGGCGTGTGTACTGCTCAACAGTCCGCTCTGTCCTCCTTTATGGCTGTGAGACCTGGCCATTGAGAGTGGAAGACATGAAAAGACTAGCTGTCTTCGATCATAGGTGTCTGTGTTCTATCTCCCGCGTGAAGTGGTATAATAGGGTGAGCAATATTGAGGTTAGGCGTCGAGTGCTAGGTAAGGAGGGGAAATCAGTCGACGAGACTGTGAAATTACATCGACTGAGATGGTTAGGACATGTGTTACGTATGCCTAGTCATCGCCTTCCCCGACGACAGGCAATGTTAGCTGATATAGGGTCAGGCTGGAAAAGAGCTAGTGGCGGTCAAACCAAAACATGGCATCAGTCAATGAAATCTACAACAGTTAGTCTAAGCCACGTAGGAAATCGTTCTCAATGATGGCACAGATGCATCCATTCCTTGTGACTTATGATTTCCAATGAAACTGTTTTGTTCTTCGTTATTACTATACCTTTGTCTCACACCTCTGTTTACTGTCTATATTATGCATTTCTCCTACTTTCTTCTCTTGCTTTGTGTGCTACGTGGAGTGTGGCGACTTGAACTGCCGCACATATGTGCAAAGTTCTATGTCGAAAACAGACAGACAGATAGACGGCCAGGCCAGGTTGGGGTCATCGGGATTCTAAGATCCAATGGCTGGAGACAATTGGTGATATGGCTCGAAATCATTCTCAATGGCGTAGATAATTTTAGTCTCTGATATCATATTACTATTCTTTCTTCCTCACATTTCTGCTCATTAATATTCTCTTGAATCCTTATTCTTCTCTCTTTTATCTCCCCTTTATGTGCTACTTGCAGCGTTGTTACTTGAACTGCTGCGCTTCTGTACAATCTTCAATGTTGAAACCAGTCAGTCGGTTAGTACATGACACGGTGCGGTGTTGGTATTACTATTATGAGTATTATTACTGTTATAATTATCTACACAGATCACTTAGATTTATGTATCCAACTTAAAAATCGCCAAATAATACTTGATACATTATCGGGATCATTTAAGAAAAATACCTCAAGCATCTTATGTGCTTACTTTATAATCCATGGAAAATTCCCATTGTAACATATAGAAAATCAAAACAAGTGATCCATTCAGCGAAGAGACTCTTTTCAACTACGAATTTATCATCAAGCTGTACAATCGTATATATATGGTTTTTAAGAAGTTATATCCGGTGAGGGAATTGAATCATAGGTGTAATAGTAATAATAGTAGTATGAAATGCAATTAAAACTAAAATGTCGGGTACGTACCCGACTCATCTGTATTGCTGAAGCTTTGGCTATCGAAACAGAAAAGCCAGATCTCTGTGTACAGGAAAAGTTCGTTCAACCCCTCCAACTTTCATGGTCTTAATCCCTCTATGCTAAAGTATGGTAATCCCCAATCATATTTTGGCTCTACCAATTTTTCATTTTGTCTATTCAATTTGTATTCTCTTCCTCTATTACGTCAATTGTTACTATTACTATTCTCACTAGAAATTGTCCCCGGTATTATTTCACTTGTTCCACTTGTCATTCTAAATCATTTCTCTTTTTTACAACGTTAAATTCTATGCTATCAAATTTCACACAATATTACGTAACGTTTTTATTTTATTCGATTTGTCTACTAATCCTATAATTGCACACCCTTTTTCAAGTTCTATCCATCCTATAAATTATTCTATATATGACATTAATTTGTTTTGCCACTTGACATTTAACTATGAATATAATCACAAACATTTTAGTTTTAATTGCATTTCATACTACTATTATTATTATTTTATGCATTCACACCTATGATTCAATTCCCTCACCGGATATAACTTCTTAAAAACCATATATATACGATTGTACAGCTTGATGATAAATTCGTTGAAAAGAGTCTCTTCTATACTTTATAATCGTAACATTCTAGCAACTGTCAAGTCGAAAATACTCCCCTACACTACATTGGCCAAAGTGGACGTCCCCTTTGTCTTCGTATCCATGATCATAAACTAGCCGTCAAAAGACATGACGTCCACTCCCTCATATCGCTGCATACAGACACCCATGGACAGCAATTCGACTGGGACACCGTTCAAATATTAGACAGAGGAAACACCAAGAATGCTAGAGAATTTTTAGAAGCCTGCCTGGTATTCCAGTGAATCGTCAATCAATAGACACATCGACATAGATAAAATTTACCAGTCGATACGAAGAAAATCTCATACAAAAAAGGGTCCAAGTTCAGGTCAAGGAAACAATCAGTACCAATACAAGTAGCCTAGAGGGTGTGAAAACATATGCAAACAACCAATCACGCTCAAGGTGACCAGGAGAAATGACTAATAAACTCGTGGAAAAATCTAAAAGCTGAAGATGTTGCCTAGTAGGGCAATGAAAGCTTCGCAAATAAACCAATCAGCTCAGAGAACACAACTACATCAAAATAATCCCGTTATGCACTTTACGAAGAAATATGCAAACACTAATGAAGATATCTATCTACCGTGGAAATGAAACATTTACCAATCGAAATTCCAGTTGAAAGAATAGCTTAATCCAAGCGCAATACTGTATCACTATTAGCCGTTTTAAGTGAACTAACTAGCCCGAATAAGTTCAAATTATCATAGTAAACACAAGTATAAGTCAGAAGATGTTGAAAAATATTATAACCGACAAAATGATAGGGAATGAAGGCGTTCAAGGTTGTTCGGAAAATGAAAAATGTCTATCTGCAGTCGAAATTGACGAATGTATGCTTGTTTATTTTTCCTCGGAAAACCGGGAATTCTAACACAATATAGTTGATAAATCCAACACAGTGTACATCACCAGTTACTGAACTCACAAATAAATGCTCCCTGTTGATCTCCTGACCTTTAGAGAATTCCTATTTTAAATGCTACTTCATCCACTATCACAAGTTAAGGTAAGTGGTGTCTGTGCATATCAAACACAACTCTCAGTCAATTCAGGCCGTTTATATTTGAAATATCATTAACTGATTGTTTTGACTTCCTATGACTCTGTGTCTGACCTCAGTTTTCCTAGTCCAGCGGTCCTAGCATCCACGATAACAGGATTCATTTGAAATTAAATAAAGTAAATATCATTAGTAATTGACGTTATATTTGGTTGAAGGCGATTGGCAGAAAGTCGTGGACATGGACTTGGACTTCGTACTTATTAGTAATCGTCAATAAGGCTAGTCTGAAACTCCGAAGAAACTGATGTCCCTGTCTGAGGGCTAAATCAACATCCTCTGGTGCTAGAGTTGGAGACATTATCACTGAGTTATTCAAGCGGCGATTAACTGTTACATTGTCTAGTCTTTTCTGCTGACTGAAATCTATTCAACCAAGTTTTTAATTCGAAAGCAGTCCAAGATCAGTTGCTATTTTGGAATACAAATAAGGCTTAAGATGTAATTGAATCACCATTAAAGGATTAAAATAAGATGCAGAATTTTTAACTGTTTAGTAAAGTAACAAAAAAAAGGAAAAATTACTCAATGGACTCACTTGAATTGAACCTTTTTTCGGTATATGATAACCCTTATTGTTAGGCAATTGTCTTAGATCAGCATAGCCAAGATAGGGGGATGGAGCATTATCATCAGACAAGTCAAAGAAGTAGGCTTTCATAGGAAGGCGAACATGATTTGGGTAGAATGAACCACTGGCGCCCAGTTCTAAAGAAAAGCCTTCAACTTGACCAACTGGATGTATTCTGCCATTGAGCATACTTTCCTTGATAAGGAAAAAAGAAAACAATATAGGGCAAATTAGTGATAGACAGTTGAATACTGATCAGTTAGTTATACGACAGTAAGTCAAAGAACCAACTGGACAGCCTGAAGTCGTCTCATAGTTGACATACTCCAAAACAATTTAAAAGTAATATATACGATTTAACTTGGTCCAGGGGATAACGCTTTGTGTTAAATGGTAGAATGCTTACCAACTCTGCAGGTGGTCTGGGTTCGACTCCTGGCCGACGCACTCCCAAATCTCGCTTAGCCGATATCAAGTCCAGGGAAGAGGGAAAGTTATACGTAAGACTGGCAACCCCGCCCCTTAAAAGAAAGGAGATCCCCGCTACTGAACTTTTAAAAGTCTGAAGCCCTATGTTCTAATAGGAAGACTCTTATGGCCAGCAGATTGGTTGAAGTGACACTGATGACATTGCTAAATCTTGTTAGGTAAAGCTAAATCTGTCTTGTTACCAAATGATATTATTAATAATAATTGATTACTATTGGCATTTTCCGTGACTTTTCATAGAAACACTATTTAAATGTACAGCTTTGAACAGAGGTTACAAAAAGAATACTCTTGGTTGACCTACATCTTTTTAATCTATATCATAAGAGAATTTTTTCATACTCTCGTTGATTTCAAAGCCGTTTTTAAGTCGTATATACGATTTTGTATGTTACGCAACCTACTTTCATATCGTTTAGTGTTAAACTGTTATTATCAGTAATCAAAGGTTAGATTTTCAAAGGGGGAAGGAATCATCGGAACATGCGGAACTAGAAGGTTAGCAGAAACGGGGTGATAAACCGATGAAGACACCGAAGTCAGTTAGGAATGGAAAAGCAAGACAGACAGAGGCCTTCATTATTCTGAAATCACAAGTAGAAATTTGCTGTTCTAAGCATAAGGAACAAGATTCGGATTTTCAACACGAATGTCAAAATAAATCAGTGCTTCTTTATATAGTTCAGAGACATGACACGTGAGCAAGCCGAAGCACTTCACTTCCCACAAGCAGCCACTGCAGACTTTCATTAGTGTAGCTCTATTTTCGCTCCATTCTGAAGATCAGATAGTCAAAAAGAATTAGTAGGAAAAACAACCTTTCGGAACGAACCAACCAAGCACCTACTGCTCAACAAATATGTCGAAGGAAATGGAGATGGATTGGACACATATTGAGAAATGTTAAATATTCCCATAGTAAAATTTAGAACAACACATTTAAGCGAACAATACTGTGGTTTCAATTAGATCTCATCACGCCTAACTCTAATATACATAACTTTACAAATAAATATTCAAATAAAAACCAATCACGGTGTTTTGTCAATGGGATAATAAGATTGTGCATATAAATTGAGCAATTAGTCATAATAGTAGTAATGATAATAATAACAATAGTTCCATTGATAACAAGGATGAAAAAGTAAGGCAGTCTGTGATAACAAGAATAAAGAAAAACAGCTACATTAAACAAACACGTAGTAGTTGATACAGGCTAAGAAAAACAAATGGACCGTTAAAGTATTGTTTTTATTGTAAGGGAAGTAGATAATGAAGATGTAATAAAATTGAGGGATGATAAGAGAGGGGTTGGAAATATAAGAGAGGCTTGGTGAAATGTCTGTTTAAGAGGATTCAACGTATTTGTACGGCTGATGTTATAGACAAAGAAAACAAAATATTGATGGATACTCTTGTTGAAAACGGATATCCCTTAAAATTTTTAAACAGGTGTAGGAGTCAATTAGTTTCTAAACCTAGAATCCATACCGCCCCTAAGAAAAATGTTTTCATCAAATTACCATATAACGAGGAAATAAACAGTAGGATTTTGAGACAAAGGTTGAATTCGATCATCCGTAGAACCTATTATGCAGCCCAGCTTGTAATTGTCGAAAAAGCTAAAAATATGCTCCACTGCAAACCTCAAAAGTGCACAAGTGATTATGTCTCATCCCACACTATTTACCAATTTTCGTGTGTGTGGTCACACATACATAGGGAGGAGTAATCGCGCTTTGCATGTGAGGGTGGGAGAGCATATCCCAAAATGGCTAGAAAAACAAATGAATTGTGAAAAACCAATAGATGCAGGTGTCAGACTACCAACTTCGTCTATAGCTAAACACCTAATCGAGATGAACCATAAGATTGATGTTAACTCAGCCTTTAAGGTCATCTATAAAAATGGTCAAGGGCGCTTATTGAAATACGCTGAGGCTATAGCTATTCATAAACTTAAGCCTCCCCCCTGTGTATTCAAAAACAGTTTATTATTACTCTTAACCTACCTTGGTAATCCTTATTTGATTGGATTACCAAACGTTGTGTTAATCATTCTTAAATCCTTTTTTTTGTCACTTTGTTTAATTTAACTTTTTCATATATATCGACTTGACAAGTAAATGTGTGATCAGATTGTTCGAAATGTATAGCGCAAATACATCACATTTTTCAGATAATCTCCGTCTTCTAATAATGCTATCCAAATTTATAACAGGCACTAATTGTTCTATAGTTATTCGAATGACTATCGCCTTAGCTGTGTGAAGTAGACGAATACGCAGTCTATTGGAAAGATTCGGTGGGATACGATGAATTACCCTGAAAGCTTTCGTTTTCTCCACTACATGACCGCTGTAAACTAAATGCGACAAAATGGAGCTACGGAGGAGACCGTTCAGTGACACCATGCAGCAGAACCTTGAGCGGAACCCGAATGAGAAACAAAGAGTTGGCCTTGGTTCAAGGGAAACATAGGAGAGATCGTGTGAGGAGGGAATGAAAGCTTACGGGCGATCGTGGAGCCAAAGCTAAAGAGAACTTGCATATTTTCTTTTTATTCCCAGGTGGAACATAGGGCTTCAAGCTAGAGGCTTGAAGTTTCTGTAACAGTGGTGATTATTTTTACAGGATGGGTTGCTAGCCTCATGCCCAACCTTCCCTCTTAACCAGACCTATTACTGGCTTAGCGAGGTAAAGGAGTGCGTCGGTCGGGGATCGAACCCCGGACCACCTGAGTGGTTGGCGAGCACTTCACCGCTGTACCACCGACGCACAAAGCCAGCTCCCCGACCGGGAATCGAACCCGGGCCTTACACGTGACAGGCGGAGATACTCACCACTATACTTGCATATGACAAAGTGAAATGTCGACGTGCTGTTGAAGCCCTCTATGTCCAACTTAGAACCAAAACGGAACAATAATATTTTTAAAAAATCACGCGACAAAAAAAGCAAAACCTACAGCAAAAATCAAGGTATTAAAAGAAAGGAAGGAAGAGAGAAAGGAAAGATGGAGAAAATAGCATAAAAATAATATACAACAAACAAGGGGAGTTTTATTTATAGTAGATCACGTGATGTTTTGCGTCAGCTGACTTTAATGCATCATTTTATTATTATACAATGCTCATATATATGCACATATACGTAGATCGAAAGTGCAAACAAGTTTGTATGTATGTGTGTGTGTGTGCATTTGTGTATCTTTGTGTTTATGGGAGTGACAGATAACTATGCAAACAAACACATGCTTCTAATAATAATGCGCGAGAAGATATTGAATGAATAGAATTAATATACACTCTATCTATCTATATATGGTAATTGTTGTGTTGTTAGCTTTTTGTTGCTTAAACGGAATGAATGACTTGTACTTATGCCTTTATACAAATAAAAAAAACACGCGCGTAAATATTAGTACATCAGACATCTTTGTAGATAGGTTCTTACTGATAAATAGAAAATGACATAATCAGGGAAAATGTAGAGAGAAACGGGGTGAGTACTGTTGAAGAGTCCCAAACAAGGATGAAAGAGATGTTCAATCCTCTCTGGTTTTCCAATTGTTTCCTAACTGAGGTCAATTCGTTAATAAACTTTAGGTACTTTACAGTAAAAAGGAGTTAAAGAGGTGCTTAGCAATAGACTATGGATTACGCTTCATGCCGTGTCAGCCATACACAACGTTGATTGTTAGTCAAATGAATGCTAACCTGAGTTGACCGAACAGATGTTTCTTTCATGACAATCGTTTACTGACTGCCTGTAGTAGTACAATGGCCTCTGAATGAATAACAATGAAAACTTATCATTCAACGATTACGTACATGAGTACTCCAGCTGAAGTAAATTATTACTGGTGAAGATATGGCTCATCTGGGTTAGACACTCAATTTAGGTGACTCTGCTTTCACTAATTAAGTATTTCTCTTCGTTAAACATGTAGAAATGTACACGGTGGTAGCTGAGTTGAACTGGCAAATCGTCATCCATGCAGAGAAGATGTCAGTCAGGGAACCACAAAAGAAAAGCTTTTTCATCCTAGTTTGGGACTCATCGTCAGTACTCACCACCCAACGGGGTTCGAAACCAGGACCTTCTAATTATAAGGCAAGTTGGGATCCCAGTGGCTGAATGTTCTACCGGGTGTAGACTGAATTCGGTCAGTCTGTAGCCATTCATGCTCCTCGTAGGAACTGCAAGGATTAATTTACCCATAAACACATTACAGAATCTAGAAAATGGTGAAATTCGGTGACTTCTGTATCATATAGCTAACATAGTGTCTATATATGGAAGCGAAGACATCCATCCATCCGTCCACCAATGATAACATCGTGACAGGCATTTACACTTCGAGTGTATAGAGCATGAGTGGAAAAAAGGCATGATACAGACGTCGAACAAGGAATGCACAAAAAAAATCTTTTTAATATCCAATTTGAGTAGATTTCCTGCCTTAAAAAATATATTCTCAGTGCACTGATCAAATAATCAAACCAAGAATTTGAAAAGTTCAAATAGGCGAAATAAATCCAGTGTCACGAAAAGGAATGAACTTTAAAACGCTTACAACTGAGCGTCAGAAGCATTTTAGACAAAAGAGAGAGAGAGAGAGTGAGCGGGGGAGAAGAGGTGTCACGCAACAAAAGCTTAACAAAGAACAAGTACAAGTGCAAGTTAGAGAAAATTACGTTCAC